TTTGTTTACCATTGTACTCGTATCCAGTATGTTTACCATTGTACTCGTATCCAGTACTTTTACCATTGTACTCGTATCCAGCGCGTTTATCGTTGTACTCGTATCCAGTACGTTTACCGTTGTACTCGTATCGCAGTGCGTTTACCATTGTACTCGTATCCAGTACGTTTACCATTGTACTCGTATCCAGCGCATTTACCATTGTACTCGTATCCAGTACGTTTACCGTTATATTCGTATTTAGTGCGTGCACCGTTGTACTCGTATCCTGTACGTTTACCGTTGTATTCGTATTCAGTGCGTGCACCGTTGTATTCGTATTCAGTGCGTGCACCGTTGTATTCGTATTCAGTGCGTGCACCGTTGTATTCGTATTCAGTGCGTACACCGTTGTAGTATTCAATGCATTCAGCACTGTACGTGTTGATGAAACATAAAACCATAATGGACTGATCGTACCATTCTTTAAATAATAGAGCTCTAATTGTCGACCAATTGAGTGATTCCATGGAATTCATTTTACAGTTGTTGCCTATATACATGCCCTCATGAAAATACACAATGTTTACAAAGTTCAAAGTAATATGAATATATACGGAAGCAAAATGGGTTCTTACGATGACCCATTTATACTATTCACTTTTTTTGAAATGTTACATTGTTTAGTTCTGTTTTGAAGATTAATATGTGTTATGTTTGATGGTATGAATAAGGGTGTTTTGGGGGGAGATTATTTAACGATAACTATTATAACCCAGCGATTATTAAATTGTATCTTCACGTTACTATGACGATAACATCTGCTCCAATGAGTTACGAGAGTGATCTTGTTTCTATCATAATAACTAAAATGTTTCAATATGAATTATCAATATCGCGATTCTGTCAACAAAGCAATATCGTCGCATTATTACAATTAATCACTCCATCGCCTAGTCATTGATAGTTGCCTAATAACATACTGTATTAAACTGATCAAATGATGTCTTGCAAATTGGTTTCGTGTTCTGTCAGTTGATAATCTTGCTATTGGCATTATACAGGAAATGTATACTGCCTGGGGATTGGGCAAGGATAGCTATCGGATTAATCGATTTCAATACGTGTTGACGAGCAGCCCTCCACGATTATACAGATTGCATGAATAATATCATTGAACCAATCATTCAACTGAACTTGTATTACAGTGGGGATACTGCACGGATTAGTATCCATTCATGAGAACCAATTTCTCACCTCCCTGACTTAGCTGATCGATTTGAAAACATGAACGGGATTATCTTCACACCAAATGCTTATGAAGAATGCGACATACGCTGATGATTTATTAAACGAACCCGTAAGCTGTAATTTGTTTTATAACGTTTTCAATTAACTATGTGTATAAAGTCCACAAACAACTCTCAAATGCTCAGTATATATGTCACTATTCCACTTAAAGAAGGTCACGAAACCATACGCGAGCGTACACGTACTTGTTATTGTAAGATTTTGGACGCATATTTATTTTAAAAAACGTTAATAGTATAATGGGTTATCGTAAGTGATGACGTATTATATATAAATAAGAACCCATTTAAGGAGGAAAATTTAGTATTTCGCAATCGAATCAATTAACAAACAAAATGAGCGGCGTTCAAATATTTATTGCTTTTGTTTATTTATATGGAGTTAGTACACGTAACTTTATGAGGAAAACAAACTTTCAGATAGAAAAGAAATGTTGTTGTAACTCTATATACTGAACAAATACCATGGTTACAGAAAAATGGAACAGTTGATAGTAGAAAATAGAACACTTTCTGAGGAAAAACAAGTTGCGTCCATTTTACTCTGAAGAAATCTAAGAGACAATTCGCGAATCACGTCTATTCATATTCCACAACAACGAATATACAAGTCTAAAGATATAAATTACATCAATTTGAAAATATTCACAAAACAACACAGTAAATTTAGGGCAGTCGTACACAAATATTATGAAACACGCATGTGGTAAAAAAAGCGTTGTTTTATATAAATGAAATTACGTATATATGGATTTAGTTCCACATGCATATTTAGTAGTAGTTTAAACGAGAACTAGTTTATTTCCGGAAACTTAAGCCTACCCATCATGGTGACATTGTATACCGGTAATCTGACGAACAAGCCCACTTCTTTCACAGATTCGCTCATTTGTATTAATACTTCGAGGATCATCATCTCACAATTTGCGTGACTGAGATCTTTGTCGCGCACCATGGTTGCATTATTCTTCAGTTTTAAATCTTTGATAGAAAGTATAACAGCCTGAAATTTATACCTTACAATGCATCTTATTTATATACCCGCTTACGTAAGTTACACTGATGAAATAAGAGTACGTTCGGTTAACTATATTGTTTATACCTACCGCCCCCTCCCTGTGCCGGGTCTCCAATTAAACACTCGGGGTCAACACACTTTTACATTTGTGTATTATAGACAAGCTTTATATACATGTGTGTGGTCTACATACCTAGATCAGGAATGGATCATTAGAAAATCTGCGATTATAGAAAAGTTACTTTTCCTAGACCTAGACTACTAGTACTTTTATGTTGTGTTAGTATGCACAATAACATTCACTTCACATTTGTATTTTCCAAACAAAATCAACAACAGCGTGCCCTATCAAACAGCATTATATATTGCATTTTTCTGTCACTTAGTTTTATTTTCTGTGGGTTTTTTTTTTCACATGCAAGGATGCTATTTTTTTTTTTTTTTTAAACTACAGACACGAGTTTTTAATTTCCTTTCGAATTACATGATGTAGTGTCGAATTGCAAGTATTCAATTCAGGGTATGATAATCAGTATTGTATTAGTGTTTCATAACTGTAATTTGAGTGTAAAGTGGTCTGCACTGCGGATTGGGTTTTCAAAAAGATATACGAGTAGCGAAGCCGGATATATACCCTTTCCCTCATCTAACACTGGTGGCGTAAATTGAATTATGGTGAGTAGGGAGAACAGGACGTCGGGTGTGAAGTAAGGGGAGGTTTCTGAGGGACATCTGGCTCTCACTGAAACCAGATGTAAAAGACTACAGTAAGGATTGCACCTGGCTCAAATACTGGTAATCTGTAAAAAAAAAAAAAAAAAAAAAAATGTTTTCAAAAGATACATTACGTCAACTTTCCTACAGTCTCGCGAGATTTGAGGAGAGTGAAACACACAGCACCCTCTACGTGTCTATAATGTCTAACTTGAGTTTGTTATGATGTCACGACTATTTCTATGGCACAACCGTGCATCTGTTGTTCTACAATTTAGTATACATTAATAACATGAGTTCACATGTCTGTTATTGTAATATGACGGTGTATACATGCCCAGACATTAAGACGGACAACAGTTGTTTCAATATATATATTAATAAACATTATCAAACCCTTCCATTTGTGAGTTATATATTCATTATACAAACAGCCAAGAACAGATTTCTTTGTAATATATTTATCATAAAAATAGCGATGCGCGTGTTCCTTTTTAATACAAATAGCGGACAGGCTGTCTCCTTGTAATATAATCACCTTATAAATACACAATTCATAGTATTTTCAAAAGACGTCACATCATTTTGTATCACATAAACTTGGTACAGCCATAGAAAGAGGTTCGATTTTTTTCAGGGTAGATTTTATGCGTAACAGAACGTTTCATAATGAAAAGGATACAAGAACATGTAGTTAAAGCGGAAGCGTCGTCACCTGAGTACGCTCTAGAATTGAGTCCCAAGCGATGATAACTACACACGCTAAGACTCAAAGGCTCATGGGTAGACGCTTGTTTGTAAACAATGACACGCTATGTCCACCTGAT